AAAAAAAAAAAAAAAAAAAAAAAAAAAAAAAAGAGCATGAAATCTGCAAAGGAACTACCAAAAGAATAAACAAAATTAGACAGTTAAAATCTAACTTTCACCTATTAATTTGAACCGCAGACTTTCAATAGCATAATTTACTTTTTGTTAGTTTGGATAAGACAGATAGAACCAAATGTTGACCAAACTCCAAACACTACCATAGAAGGTTGCACACACATAAATCCTCATCTTTCATAGCAATATCAAAGGGAAGATACTTCACATATTAAAACTCACCATATATATATACTTAACGAAAATACTGGAAAGCATATTGCATATACTTGGACTGACGTGCACCTCAATGTAACCTACCATGCCAGAAGCACATAACTGGTAGAAACAGTGGTAGTTTCTCTCAGGGTCTGTTATCTGAACAACACGAGATCGTTCAAGAAGGTATGTTCTGATTGCCGCTCCAGAAATTCTACCATTTGCATCAAACTGGATCTCGACAAACTTCCCAAATCGACTGCAGAGCAAATACAGGAAGTAATTTTACAGCTTAGGCCAGGTACTGCCAGCAATAATAAAAGCAGTCCAATTAAAGAAATTCATGTAGTACCTTGAATTATCATTCCTAACGGTTCTTGCATTGCCAAATGCCTCCAAAAGTGGGTTTGACTAAAATTAGAGAAACACGGTTTAGCAATTCCATTATTATTATGTCACACATGTTCCAAATATCCTATCAACATGCATATACTTCAAAAATACCATTTATATACAAAGGTAGTAAGAATAACAATATTATGCAGCAACTATAATACTAATAATTCTAATTGTCTCCAAGGACCAAGACAAACACCTATATGCTTCACAATACCATGCTAACACATGACAAAGCCAAAGACACACAGAAGATGATTTCAGATGCCAGTTTATTCACAATGCACTTCAAAATCAACTAAAAACACATGAATAAATAGACCAGCATCTATCAAAAGAGACAAAAACTTACCTCCAAAACTTGCTGTTCAACTGTTCTGTCGTCTTCAGCAGCACGACCACCCACATATGTAAGATATTGCATTATCAACTTTGTGGTCTCGGTTTTTCCAGCTCCACTTTCACCACTGACCAGAATGGATTGACTACGCCCTTCACTCATCATTGCTCTGTGTCATTAAAAATCAACCAAGAATCACCAGATCATTAACTGAGCAAATTGGAATTCGTTCGCAGCATAAAACTTCAGAACAGACAAACCTGTAAGATGCATCAGCCACAGCAAAGACATGGGGGCTCAGTTCACCAAATGGAGCCCCCTTATACTGCTCCATCATGTGCATATTATATAGATGGGGAAGCTTGGTAAATGGGTTAACTGCAATCAAGATGCTTCCCGTGTATGTCTGGGATGGGCATAAATCGTATATCAACAAGAATGAAGAAGCACAGACAAGGCCCACAAAAAGAATGAAGATTAAAAAAAATATATAGAATAGAATACATAGCTAAAATGCCTTCTACAATGCTAGTCAACCTGCTTAGACTTACTAGGATTTTAATAGAAATCAACATCAGGAATTCAACAGAAGTTATCATGAAACAATAAGTCAAAACTTGTATCATGGGCAACCTTTTTAACAGTTTACCTTTTACCCATTTCAACAACATAGATTTTTTGGGGTATAAGAATAAAGTATAAGAATACATGACCTACGACAGGAGTAATAATATTAAAAGAACATAGAAGGAGAGACAGAAAGAACAGTCAAGGTAATAATCCTATGCATACCACAAATTGTAGCTGGAGTAAGTTCTTAGTAAAGTTTCCTGAAAAGTAATATGAATGGAGAAAACAAAACACTATAACTTTTATTTTTTTACTAATATGTACCATATCCACTATACAAGTAATTTGAACAATCCTCTCCTGAGATTCCGAAAATACTTCAGATTTTGATTTACTCACATATATTTCATTAAGGGCATATCGTCTCCGAAGATTATCAAGCACACCAGGCTCATTCAAGTATGTCAATTTGGTCATATCATCCACTCCCCCAAGATCCGACTCCCCATCGCGTGGCTGCAATTTTTCCGGCGCCGTCAACACCTACACCAAAAGCAAAAATTCAGCAGCTCGTTAAGCAGCAACTAAATTTCAAATACAGCAATTTCTTTTAAAAAAAAAATAGAAAAATAGCATAAAAACAACATTATGTCAGGATGGCCAGGAAAAATTACACAAAGGGTAGTATCAATTACAAAAATTGAGCTAAACAGAAGTTGCAGCACGAACTCAACTACAATGGGTTGTGAGAAAAATAGGGGTAAAATTCACCTTCTTCCCGGATAAAGTCAGAACTTGAACTTGTTTGCCGATAAACCCAAAGACTTCAGCTTCAACCCAAGCTGAATCCTTGTCTTCCAACCATACCCTCGAACCCTTCCGAAGGGCCATTTTTTCAGCAAATTTTTCACTCGCTTTTCTCACTTTCTCCAGGATTTTCAAAAGCCGGGCATGAACAAAAAATTTGAAATTGATGAGCTTTTACTGGATTTACAAACCCTAACATACATGAACATGGAGAATTTTTCAGCTTCCCGCCCTAGGAAAGAGGAATTGGATTGACAAATATAAAAAAAAAAAAATAATAATAATTATTTTATGAATATTAAATAAATCAGTATTTATTACAGTGTTTAAATTACACTTTTTTTTTTCGGTTTTTGAAATGCCCACTGTGCTGTCCTTTTGAGGTAAATCTAAAAATTCAAATTTTGCAGCATATGGATCTGTTTGATGACTTATCTCATCAGTATTTTTAAAACATGTGAAATATTATATAATGCAATTATATTTTTTATTTAGATTTCATAACTATATGACAATTTAATATTCTATTAATTTATATGTATATGGTTAAAAAAAAAGTTATGAACTTTCAAGATTTTCAGTTCCGAATTTTGATAATTTGTTAATTAAGTTATTCACATTTTAATTTGTAAGTTGTAGACCCGAGTCTACAACTTACAAATGTTTGAAAGATGATCGATTTGTTAGTTTAGTTTTTTTTTTATATATAATAAACTCAATAATTGAAATAATTGTTTGTCCACATTTTTAACGTAACTTTTTTTCAATGATTAATTTTAATAATTGTATTTTTTATCTTATATTTATTTATAGTTTTAAATAAATTTCACTTAAATTATTATTATTATTATTATTATTATTATTATTATTATTATTATTATTATTATTATTATTATTATTATTATAAAATTAACAAGCAGAAACTTATATTCAATCAAAGCCATAATTTTTGGTTTTGGGGTTAACAAAAGAAAACTATATTCACCAACCAAAGCCGTAATTTTTGGTTAAAATTAACCAAACGAACATCCCAACAACTGTTAGGGTTGGTGATATGGTGTGGTGGAATTACATATTTGGTAAATTTAGTTTAAAAGTTGGGAATTAACATATAATTTTTTTTTTTTATTTTTTATTTTTTCAGAGATGCAAGGTATGTGTTACCATTTAAATGAATGCATGAACTGAGATGATGATTGATATTTCATATTTCACTCATTGATTGACATATGTCAAAAATTCAATGTAAGCAAATGTGTAACGAAGATTCGATGCTACCCGTGGGCACTACCCACATGGGTTTTTTACCATTGATATACACATAAGCACACATACACACATATCTAACTGGGTGTGTGTGTGTGTGTGAAATCAATGGTAAAATACCCCATGTGTGTATCTGCATGAGTAGCATCGAATTTTCCATGTCCAGCGTAGAAGATACAATGTGTGTTGTAAAAGAAATAATTCGAGGGAATTTACTCAAAGTTAGTTTTTTCTAGTTAACTAAGATTAATTTAGAAAAAAGTGGTATAATTAGTTATTAGTGATATTTTGAGTTTATATTAAAATGATTTTAAAATAAAATGCTTGAAACTGATTTGATGTAAAAGTAAGAGAGAGATGATATGAAGTGATGGTTTGGTTAGTTAAAATTATGTGAGTGCATGAATAGTGAATTAAAGTTAATATAATGTGTAAAAATGATTAGTTGTTATTATTTAATGATTGATTGTTATTATTTAATTATATTGATAATATTGAACAGTGATGTTGAATTAAAATTGAGTTAAATTTTGAGTATGAATTAATTTGGTTTTCTTTTACAAACACAACCACAGACTCTGAACACTTTTTTTTCCCCACTTCCCATGATACTTTCACAATGGAATTATCTTGACTAGCACTGTTAAAACGGGCCATGGCCCGCGGGCTGGCCCGTCCGTCCGCCTAAAAGGACGGGCTTGGGCCTTTGCTTGACCAGCCCATTCAATCGCGGGCCTAATTGACCCGTCCCGTTCGGCCCACGGTCTAAAGCGGGCGGGGGCAGGCTGGCCCGCGGTCCAGCCCGTTTTTATATTATTTATTTATTTGTTAATTTTTTATTATTTAAATTTAGTATTTCTTATTTATTTAGTATTATTTGTCTTTATCGTCTTTTTTCTTTTTCTTCTTCTTCTTCTTTCATATTTATTTTTTAAAAGTTGACAATGATATTAAGATTTGTGAATGTACATGACCTATTTTTTTTACATAATAAAAATATTAATGAACCAAATAATGTTTTATGTGAATTAAATATCTCTTTCGCGTGAATACCCTATAACTATTCATAAAGAAAATAAAAATAAAAATTGAATGACAAATATTTAACATCATTACACATGAAGCCTTACTAGTTTATTAATTAATATGCTAGTAAATATAAGAATAAACAAACCAAAAAGTATATAAAAGTGCATAATACCAAAAAACTTGCGAACGGGCTGATTTGGCCCGCAGACTAATGAGGGCGGGCTACGAGTCATGGATTTTCCAGCCCGTAGAAATGCGGACCATTTTGGCCCGCCCCGTTTGAACCATGGGCCAGCGCTGCTAAATTCTTGACCTATATAGTGCAAAAAATGGAAGTAATCTAGTCCCAACAATTTGTTTTTTATTGTTTGATCCATGAAACTTGAAACCCCGTTTTATTCAGCTAAAAATAGCTTTTAAGGCTTACAAGAATCATCATCTTCCCAACATCTTCATGTTTGTTTATGGAAATTTTTGGTTTTGTTAGATTTTTTGATTTGGTTTGGTTAGTTTTGAAAAAAGTAGTATGGTTAGTTGGTAGTGAATATATTAAAATAATATTTAAAATAAAATAACTAAAATTAATTTAATGTAAAAGTAAGAGATAGATGATTTGATGTGATGGTTAGTTAAAATATTGTGAGTGAATGAATAGTGAATTAAAGTTGATGTAGTGTATATGAATGGTTGATTGATATTATTTAATTATATTGATAATATGGATGATAGTGGGGTTGAGTTAAAGTTGAGTTAAAAAAAAATAGTTGAGTTAAAATGATGGAAATTTTTGAAAATTTTCATAAACAAACATGCTCTTTCACATTTATAAATTGTTACAACATCAAGACTAGCAACTGCTTAAAACAAGACCACCAAGATCTTAGGGCATAAAATCAAAGTTGTCTACAAGATGTACAATCTTAACAATACCACACACATGCAAACCTACTATATCCATTTTATTCACTCCATTGACAGTACACATTTTGTGTACCAAGTGGATTCGAAGTTCCGATTGCATATAAGGGCTGCACCTTCGTTTTAGCAGAAGAGATATTCCTGTACTGCTATCTGTGCCGGGCACATTATTATGGGATAGCTCTATAAACTTCTTCAGTCCTTGGGTTTCATCGTTTATTCGAATGAATGCTAAAAAATAGCCATTCAGCTCGTTGAAAAGAAATATTGAAAAGAACGAGAGTAAGAGTGAAAGACCAATTGAAACAAACTATCTCACCAGAATAATTATTTATTGTCTATTGAGAGAATAAACATCGGCTTTGCTCTTTTCATTCTTCTTCTGAGTCCTGTGAAACTGCAGAAGCAGTGAGTTTGTGACGACAAATATCGAGCTCAAGGCCATCATTCCCCCTGTCGAGCACAAAAGCATGTTGCGAAACACATGACTATTCAATTACTAAAAATTGTAGAGAAAATAATGTCTGCTTAATGAGAAGCATGCGAAGTTAGAAAAAAGAGATTGGAGCGCGTGCCTGAAAGAGAAGGTGTCATGGCAAAATCAAATTGGGGAAGCAGCACCCCAGCTGCCATGGGGATTGCAATAACATTATACGCAACTGCCCAAGTCAGATTTTGACGAACTTTGGCCATTGTTGATTTTGCAAGGTCGATTGCATCTACCACCTGCAGCAGATCCCAAGTGGATTCAAAGCATTGGAAGCCAAGAAAATTGAACACCAATATCCAAAAACTAGTTTTTCATCTATTTATAATTCTTGGGGTTAAACAACACGTCTCTCGACATTGTCCTACTTTATTTTGTTTTATGCAAATAAAAATCGTCATCGGAAATTTCTATTTTTAGGAAACTGATACCTTTATGTTTTCTTATTTTTTAAATGAGATAAGATGAAAATTTGATGGTGATTTTTACAGGCTACTTATATTTTTAGTATTATTTGCTTATGTTTAAAAGAGTGGGGGATGAGTAAAATGATTTCTTGCACCTTTTTATCTTCATGTTCCTTAACCTCATCCATAATATGCATAACCATTTCGAAATGACATTTTCCATTTATCGATATAATACAGGATGATGATGATGGGATGCTACAACAAAAGGGAAATTCACACCTGTGACAGTCTATTTCCCAAGAGTATAATAGATGCTGCATTTGATGCAGCATTTTCCTGTCCTTCAGTTCGCATTGCAATCCCAACATCGGCAAGAGCAAGGGAGGGTGCATCATTAATGCCATCGCCAACCTATAAACGTACAAGTTAACTTCAGTACCCTAATTTCAAGCTGATATTGCAAAACAATACATTATTCACGTTCAGATGAAAGATTTCTATGTAAAAATAAATACTGTAGCCAATTACCATAGCAACACGGTGGCCTGACGCTTGGAGACGTGAAATAACCCCAGATTTCTGCTGTGGTGTTAATGAACTATTCACAAATTCATTTTCTATTCCGACTGTCTTTGCTACAGTTGCAACTGCCTCTTCCCTGTCCCCTGACAAGAGGACTGTACGAATTCCTTTCCCCTGAAGCCTTTCAAAAATTTAGAGAGAAAATATAAATTAGTAACTCTGTAGATATAATATCCTTTCCCCTGAAACCAAAAATGACAATTACAATAACTATAAAATAAAATAAGTTGAAATTGAAAACTGATCCTCCTCAAAAATTCAGCCAAAAATAAATATAATACAATATTACACACATATATCTTTTATCTATCAGAAAACGGTAATGATAACCAATGATTCTGGCTTTTTCTGCAAACTGAACTCTAATACATTGGTCTAGATAAAACATAAATAAATGAAATAGCTCTTGATCTAGGAAAGCACACTACATATCCTACGTTTTGCTGATTATGGTTTAAGTTCAAGAATCTAATGGTACCTAGTTACTGTAGATTTGGCATCACGTCTCAAATTGTCTGATATTGCAATAGCACCAATGATGCCTTCTCCTTCTCTACCAACATAAACAATCGTTCTCGAGTGGTTTGAGGATAAGCCTTCCGTTGACAATTGACGTGTCACAGACTCCTCAAGTCTCTTCACATCGGATAAGCTTGTTTTTTGCTGAAAGCGCTCTTGAACCCAACTTAATTTTCCAACTGCCACTAAAAGCCCATCTACCTCTGCCAAGGTTCCCGAGCCTGGTTCGGTTAATTGACCCCTTGTACTAGGAATATTCAAATCCAATGAGTGGGCTTTAGCTATAATAGCATTTGCAAGTGGATGTGAAGCTGTTTTTTCCACTGCGGTTGCAATTTGAAGTATTTCTGATTCTTCATGTCCGATGGATGCAACAGCTGACACGGAAGGTCTTCCTTCAGTGAGAGTTCCTGTCTGAAGGTCGAAAATTTCCAAGTCAAAAAATGAAAACTTTACAGAATAGTCATCCCCTGACAACTGTTACACAGATAGCTGACAACAGCTAAAAGTGCAGGTATTGTGTTATGCGAGCTTGAATGCTTACTTTATCCAAGGTGATGTAGTCTATCCCGGCCAAGCGCTCTAGTACATCTCCTCCTCTTATAAGAAGTCCCTGTTTTGCTCCTGCAAGAAATTTGAGAAAATGGTTACTAGAAATAAAGAGCACCTCCACGAAGTTACTCAGAGATATCCGCAAACTCCACGCTTGCAATATAATGTGCAGTAAGGTTAGAAAGAACATACTATAATAGTTTACATCTGTGAACATCATTTTCTTAGATTAGTAACATTGTGAAGAGATGCGGATTTGGCCAACGTTCACATGTCCAACTAAATTTATCTAGAACAAAACCCGACTTGTTCATGTCCAGTAAAGTTACAACAAACACACACACACACACACACACACATATACCCTTCTCCAAATCTATATGAAAACACATGGTGTCGAAATTGTACCAAGAGAGGTGCCAACTAGAATTGCCGTTGGTGTTGCAAGGCCCAAAGCGCATGGGCAAGAAACAACCTGGAAAAGAAAATGATATGTATCTGGTCAAGGCAAGATTAACCAATAGGCAATGCAGATCGATCCTTGACGCAGTGGATTATCAACCCATGCATACTTCACATTTATGAAAAAGATGGTATTATGATCAACGCAAAACGATCTAGTAGGCACGACCTTCATTATATGACCCACATAATCTTTTCCGGTATTTTTGCACAAAATAGTTCTCATACTTCATATAGTATGCTGTGTTTACTGTTTCCAGCCTATGATATCCTATTACTACAGGCACCAACCTTTTGCTCTTAGCCAGACAGGAAACGAAACAAGAAAAGCAGAATCCAACAAAGTACAAACGTGATAAACATTTAAGTTTTGTAATCCACAATTTCTCAAGAAAACTAGATATGTATAACAAAAAAAAAAAAAAAAA